AAAAAGAGGAAGGAGTGCAGCCTACCTAAGCCTCCGGGAGTGCAGCCCAGCTGACACCTTGATTTCAGACTGGCCTCCAGGATGGTGAAGGAATAAATGATTGCCTTTTGTTCATTTGTTTTTGAGAGAGGGTCACCGCTCACTGCCATCTTGACTTCCCTGGGCTCAGGTGATCCTCCCACCTCTGCCTCCCGAGTAGCTGGAAGTACAGGCGTGCACCACCACACCAGACAATTTTTGTATTTTTTTTGTGGAGACAGAGTTTTGCCATGTTGCCCGGGCTGGTCTTGAAATCCTGGGCTCAAGCAATCCTCCCATCTTGGTCTCACAAATTGCTGGGATTACAGGTGTCAGCCACCATTCCCGGCCCATTTCTGTTGTTTTAAGTCATCAAATTTGGGTGGCATCGTCTGTCACAGCAGCCACAGGATACTAACACACCCAGAGACAGAAGATGGGAGGACATAACTGCATTAACACTGAGCTAGGATCTGCATGCCTCAGGACTCTGCTTCCAGGACTACGCTGGAACTGCACTGAGTCAGAAAAACAGTCTCAGGAACCCGCTTGGATAGTAGGGAGTGAAAAAGACCCCAGGTGACTGCAGCTGGACTCCTGGAAGGCAGGTATCAGGTGAGCTTTCCTGTAAACAGCCTGCAGCTAATTTTAAACTCTGGGTCACCTGGGCATAGTGGGAGGCGGTCGGGTTGCAGCTGACGTTGGCAGGCGGGGCATTGGACAGCTACTTCACGGAGGGCCAGGGTATCTATGACTCTCCTGACCATGGAAAGCTGCAGATGCTCATATAAATAATTCTTGGCTGGAGGATTAGGTGTCTAGAGTACAGGCTGCTGGGTTGGCCAGCAGAGGCCCCAGGTAGAGAAAATATTATTCAACTGCACAAGGTTGAAACCTCTGGGAGAGCAGCTGGATATTTCTACTGGGATCAGGGGTCCAGGCCTGACTGGCCCAGGGTGATGGAGAGTGGGGTGGGGGTTGGGGGATGGGGAAGATTTTAAGGAAAAGAGTCAGTGCTTAGGGACCTGCTCAGCTGGGGCTGCAGCGCTGCACAGTGATTAAGCCCCAGGCTCTGGTGTAAAACTCTCCTTGGGGTTCAAATCCCATCTCTACCACCTAACAGCAGGATGATATTGAGTGAGGTCAGTTCATCTGTCTGTTTTCTCACCTGTACATTGAGGATTATTATTATTATTATTATTATTATTATT